CCCCCCCCCCCCTTTTTTTTTTCTCTCCCGTGGGTGGGGATTGATGTATGGCATTATGACAGCGGCGGAGATATTTGCCAACCATGTTTCATTGGTTTGGAAAGAAAAGCGTGGTTCATTTTCAATGTCCTTTCAATCATACACATGTGGACATTTGTTTTCAATCACTTCAGATTTTTTTTTCGGTTGGGGGGGGGGGCAGTGCCAGCAGTTCCAGTTGATTTATTGTTGGACATATTTTGCTCCGGGGGGGGCACTTGGCTTTCCCCAGGGGGCACTCCACCCCCCAGATTTAGCTGAAAGAAACCCTGGGTGGGAGGGCGTGTCCATCGCCTCACTTTTAAACAGGTTATCGCACTGCTTTCATGTGTGCATTTCTTCCTAGCTACTGACTACTGGTGTACAAGATGGTAATACACTGACACTGACATAGACATATGATTCATATAATTATAATATTATTTTAAAGTCATTACATAATCTCTCGTATAAATATACATATTTATATATTATATAATTATATATAATATATATTGCTTCTGGTATGGCTGCTTCCTTTTCGCAACCGACCGCCCCCCTACTCACCATGATTTATATTTAAAGTACTGAGTGAAAAAAAAAAAGTTGTAACAGCGAACGGCATGCTTTTTTGGTTGAAAGTTGAATTTTTTTCGGAGGTGACTATTATATTATCAATAAAGAGCCGCGGGTATTGTGTAGGACTATCAGTAGGACTATCTTTGTCTTTAGGCCTATTATTTAAAGGTCGGCAAATAGCGTGTAGTGTAGAGCTGTCTAAAGGCCTATTGTATAAAAGCTGGCATGTATTATAGAAAATGTGAAGCTAACTTTTGTGTGTATAAAATTATTGCATTGCCATTAAAAAGATTTACTTCCGCAAATCCTACCTGATTTTCAACACTTGGACCCACGGGTATTTTCTCAAATTACCCGGACCCGGTGTAAAACTGCCCAGTTAAGGCCTAGTGTAAGCATTGCTGGTAATTTACAGATGAATAATAATCTAAATTTATTAAAATTACAAGCTCTTTAAAAATCCCTTTAAAAAAGTTTATAACTATTTTCAAACATACACAAAAAAATAATTTAGAATAAGTTAGATACGTTTGAAGTCTTATTATTATTTAGCGTATCTTTAATTAGTTATACAACGCTGTCCAAATTCAAGTCCCCAAGAAACATGAGGTCCAGTAACCCCCGAATTGTAAAGAAGGTAGCAACATTGAATTTTAAAATATGATTACAAATAAAAGTGCGAAATGAATTTATGAATACGTTTTTGTTGTTCTGTTCAATGTTGTGCTAATCTAGTGATATCAGAGGTAAGTCTGTTGCATATCATCCATAATTTGTATATTTTGTATTTTTAAAGCTTTTATGGGATGATGAAGTTGCGAAAGGAGATTAAAAAAAAAAAAACAAAAATGATTTAATTGCAAAAAATCCCAATTTTACAATAGACTAACAATTTTTTAACGAAGTTATGGTCTTCTTTGAAAGATTTAAAGGGGAACTAACTACTCATGCTTAAATTACTGTAGTAAACTATGTAACATGTAAAGACTAACATATTAACTCAACAGTTAAAACTAATTAAAAAAAACCATTTTGTTTATAAAGGTAGATAATTAATTAAAACTAAGACTTGGGGCTAGATATGTTAGTAGATTAATTAACTTTATTATAATAATTAAGCTACTGAAATTCGTTTTATGTATTATATATATTATATATTTGTCTCACTCAGTCTCATAATAATAATAATAATTGATACTCTGAATAGTCTGAATCTGAATAATAGGGCCTGCCTACTGGTAATGTTTAACGTAAAATGTTGCAAGTGAAGCAAGTCAAGACTCCAGCAATTTTTCAAGTGTTAGTTAACTTAAAAAGTAACTAGCAAGCTTTATTAGTAGGCCTAAGCCTAATCATTACTAAACTAATTAGGCATACATTATCATTATACAGTCTACAGACCTAGTTCTTAGTTATATATAATTAAATATATTATAATTATAAATATATAATATAGGACTCAGCTAATTAATGTCTAAATCATAGGTCTAGCCTCCCAGTCTTGCGATAAATTCACACTATCCACACCACTTATTTCCCACTACTGCCATCTTGGTTGCCATGACGGCACATGTCATGGCAAACAAGATGATGGTTGTGTAAAAAAAAAAGTAGTGTAAAAATGGGGAGGGGAAAGAGAGAATGTGCTGTTTAGCTACTTAAAGAGAGAAACGAAAATAGGAACAAAAAATTAAAATTTAATAGTCGCCATTTAATCAGTCGATACATTAATTTTGTGGCGAACATATTAACTTACTTAATTGAATCCCTATAGATATGCAGCAAGAAGGGTTAACAACCTGCCTTCACTCTCTACACTCAACTAAAACACATGTGTTGTGCTACAAAATTTAGCCTCATTTTAAATCTCGTTTCAAATGTTATAATTAACCACCCAATGAAATATTAATTTAAAACATTCTATCTGTGTAGTAATATTTAAAGACAAAAAAGTTAACTCTAGTAATAATCCAAGGATAAACGAGAGGGAGAGAATCCTACACAGATTGCATAAATTGAATGGTCTAACCAACATAGTATATAATTACTGCTACAAAAAAAAGTGCATTTAGGATAACCAAAATATAGGACTGGGTAAACAATGTTGAGAGATAATGCAATGAATAATAAAATGGCTAGGCCAAATCTACATATACTGTAATTATGATATTGTATTTAACTTGTTATGTTTTAGTTTTAGTTTATTAAAAAATTCAAAGTTTGTATATTTTGAGGCTTCTTCCGCCACATCCTTTTGTTACGATTAAAAAAAAGTTTTTATATTTTAATAAAACTTATATCACCAGCAAGAGCACAATATTTTCTTCCCTATGATAGCAATTTGTGTTTCTATGTAAGTTAAGTATAAAAAAGTTATTTTTCTAGTCCTACTTTCAATTCAATTGTATATCTCCAGTTCATATATATACTCAACTGTGTACATGTTCTTGTAATTGAAACTTCCTCAGTTTTTAATAATATTTTCATGTGTCAGTGTATGCCACAAATCAGAGTGTTCCACAGCGTCATAGAATTTGACCTACTTGTCAGGTTACCACAACATCTTGGGAATTGTTCTCTTCCCCAGCATGTTAGGCCAGGCAATAATAAGAAATCCAAATCTGTGCTTTTTGTATAATTTCAAAAAATTAATTTCTCAGGATCCCTATGAATTATGCTATAAATTATATTGTGCCCAAAAAGGATTTTATTATTTGTATATTTGCATGTTTTCAGTGATTAGAGGAATTTTTTAATATAAAAGAATTTAAAAGGTTCTTTCAGCGGGGTCCCAAACCCTTCTATTTACTATAAAAACCATTTAACCTACACAAATATAAAAAGTATATATCAGAAAGCAGAGACTAAACTTTTCAGATACAGGGTTTTAGTCTGGGTTTTATTCCCATTGGAGTCTCAAGGGATTGTTAATTCTACAAGTTTTCCAGCCGAGAAGACAGTTAACTAACAAATATTTTTCAAAAAATGACATATGTGTTCTTTGATAAGTTAGCACAAGACTACTTCTTTGTATCCCCACATGTTTTGCATTCAAAGTTTGAATCACAATGCTAATTGCTCCATTGTTTTGCTGGCACCATTTATGCTTTGTAAGTAGGTTCTAAACGCTTTTATATTTTTGTGTTTTTGTAGAGGACAATTTGTTCAGTGTGGGTGGTGGACGAGTTCTGTTCATTACGTAAATCAGGCAGTGTTTTAATCACATGTTGGTTCCGTCAGTTTTACTTTTAACAATGATATTGTGATGGTTAAACATACAGCCATATGCTGAATTCTTACATAGAATTAGAGACCTTTGTGTATGTGAGCATAATACTAGCTGTGATTTTGTTTTGGTTACACATACTTCAATGCGCTTTTGTCTTAATGAGTCGCAGCATATACAACAGTAGTAAACTTATGGTTATTTTGATACTTTATGATAGTGTAGTAACTGTCTTGCCATGTGTGCATCTTACATAGACAACACACATGGGCGACAGTACAATAGTAATTTTAGACCTGTATGTTAGCTCTCACATCTCACACTGATTCTGAATGTAAGACGGTGTGTGCTATGAGTTTAACCCTGTCACTTGATTTTTTTGATAATTAAACATTATTAAAAGAATCATTTTAATTGTTATAACCTGTAATTGCAGAGTTATTCAACCAATTTAGTGTTTGTTGTTAGCTGTGTTAGTTAGTATGATAGTACATTTAATAAACTGAATTTTTAAACTGTAACATTTGTATCTTTTGAGATGTTGTCTTTTTTTTCTGTGCATTTTCTTTGAATTTTTCTTTGCTTTTTCTTGGTTTCTATGTTGAAATAAATTGTTATAGTTCTAAAGACCTGAATTTCTTGAGTTTCTTAACATAAATATAAAACTGTTTGCCACCCACTCACGACTTGGCTATAGTTTTTGGTTTTTTGAGTAAATTTATGCCACTAACCAATCACCCACTCTGCTACAGTATAGTTAGGGAAACAAACATATCACTTTGCCTGGGCTGCCTGGCTTGAAATGCTTCTTAGGTCTTTTTTCTGTTTACATTATAATTAGTGCAGAAATTTTGTTTATTTATTGGATGCAGAAAGGAAAAAATGGCTATAATGGGCATTCCCATCTTTGTGTTTATTTTTCAGTATCAGCCCAACTTAACAACAAAAATTCTTGAGAATTTTTCAATCTGGCTGCAATACTGAATCATCGCTATTTGAATTTAAAAGATGCTAATTTTGTGGAAGATCTCTTAGAAGATATATTGCCCTTTCAGGACAGAGGAGATTCCTATAGGTTGGATATATTAATATTAAAAATATTTAATACTTGAAGAGTCAGCATGCCTAAGATCATACTTACTGATTGGTATTTTGAATTATATCATACAGTTACATACTTTTAGGTTAGTAGATGCGGGATGGCAAGCAAAAGCTGCAGCTGGGTTCAAAGAATGAAGTTTGAAACCCACTTGCCAAAAAGTATATATTAATATATATTTTGCATGAAACAATCTTTGGACTTCATGTCTCATATATAATTTTTACATTTGTGAGATTCAATCAGGCACAAATTGTTTTATATTTTATGCTGCTTTTGAAATTTTCACTGTAAGAATGATCTTTTATTTGATAACAATAACAAAATAAATTTTAGCACTAGGCAGTATGATTATTATTTCATCCTTGGTCACTTTAATCAATTTCTTTTTTTTTCTGTTACATTTTTAGTAACGCAAAACATAATTTCATTCACAGAGTTCTATTGTTTCCATCCTTGACTAGCTGCTGTCGTCTTCTTATACACAAAACAGTGGAGGAGAATTTTCCAGACTTGATATCTTTCTCATTAGGAAGTGGTGGCCCTAAAAGGACAGTTGTTGCTTTCAAAGAAGCCTGTAAGAGGTATAAAGTTTCAACTAAATGAGAACCATTTTTAAATAAAACATCAGATCTATAAAATTATAGCTAAGTCACAAATACACGGCCACATCACTTCAAGCTGAACGTCTTAACTTATCCTTTGCTTAATTAAAAGATTGCATATTTATCATTTAAAAAACAACGAAACAAGTATAAAAACGATCTGGCTGAGAATTTGATGAGGTGGAACTGCATAGCCATGACACAAGATTTTTACATAAAAAAATGCTGAAACAAAATGTAAGCTACTCACACAATCTATTTTTGTCTGTTTTTGTAGGGGTATTCGCGGTTTGCAACTAATGAGTACTCCACCACAGTCAAGGGGACGAGGCAGAGGAAGAGGAAAAGATTTAACGCCAAGTGAACGTGTTGCTCAATGGGTTAACCAGAGAGAAGCTAAACGTCTTACCAAGGAGCGGTGGGGGAGTCAAAGCACTAGATCTACATCTCCATCAGTTGAATCTGAAATTGATGGCCAGATATCTGATAAATTAACACCTGATTCAGATTCAAGTTCAGAAAGGTATTACTGACATTTTAAAATGTATAACAGGAAATAACATTAACTATCAGTGCCAAAGCATTCCTCATACACATAAACACTTACACTGCAATAATTTAAAAAAAAAAACTAAAAAAAAATTACAGATTTTAAATTCCTTTTTATATATTTTAAAAAGTAAAATATGAATAAAAATAAACTCTAGTATGCATTAAATGTTTCCCATTTATTATAGTGAGTCATTTTCATTCAAATTTATTTATATATAAATAGACACATGAAGCTAAATAAAAAACTGAAGATAATTTTTTTTAAACTTTAAAAAAAAATTTTTTTAATTACATTTCAAGTAAATTTTGTCTCAATTTTGCTGTATTTTTTCATAATGAAGATGGGGCTTCTTTTTTCAACTTTTTGAAGCAAAAGAAAAAAATATAATTTTATTTTTTTATTAATGTTAAGCTTGTAATATTATATAGTTAAAATTTGAAAGATAAAAGAGCATGTCAGTTATAGTCACATTTATTATGTTTTTAAAGTTACCAAAAACATCCTGTAAATATTACATATTAATATTAATGTTTAAGTATAATGAAATTTACTGAGTTCAGTTTGCAGCATGTAAATAAATATTTAAACCAAATTTACATTTTCGTTGCAGATCAAAAGTGAAGCCCAAAATTCAAATCTATGTACCACCATTCTTGCGGGACAAAAAACCTGTTAATGTTGATATTCCTTCTGAAACTACTTCACATACTGATGAAGGAATTCTTTATCAGACAAGCAATGACATGGGCTCCCCTATAACTGATGATTCACATTGTGGAGATGACGTACTGTTGGCTCAAGAGGCTGAATTATCCAGTCCTAAGGACGTGATAATATGTACTGTTGATAAACCAGAAAAGCCTTTTGAAAGGAACAGATCAAAAGGAAGAGGGAAAAGAAAACCAGAAGTGGAGATCTACATCCCTCGTGCATTGCGATCAGCTAAGCAGGACAATAAATTATCTATAGAGAAATGTCATGATTATAACTTGTATCAAGATGCCGTATTAGAGTTAGAAAATAGGAATGTAGATACCCAGATCACAAGTCTTTCAGAACCTCAAACAAACAGTGAAGTTCCAGAGATGTCTGTTTCAAATTCAGTCATTTTCAACACCAATAATCTTTTTAGTAATAAAATAACTTCAGAGATATCAGATAGTGCATTCATTATAGAAACTGGCAATCTTCTTGCTGATCAACTTTCAAATTCAGAAATAGCTTATTCGAATCCAGTCATTCTAGATGCCGGTATTCTTCTTCCAAATCAAATTTCAACCTCAGAAATATCAGATTCAAATCCAGAAATTTTGGATCCTGGTATTTCAAATCAGTTTACCTCAGATACAGAAAAGTCAGCTCTTCAGGTAGTATTGCCTGAGTTTCTGCCATCACAAGCTGGAGATAATTTAGATCATGGTTGTCTCTTAAGGCAAGATGCACCTGTGATGTCAGATGGGGGTGAGGTTAAAAACAATATTGAATCAAACTGTGAGGTGCTGGTGGGGAAAATTTCTCCTTTTACGTTTGAATTCTATGACCCTGCGGTCATTGCTTTCTTGCCATCTCCACCCATTCGACCTCTTGGGGAGGCTGATGTGGTGCCATATTTTTCGGGGACTTCCAGGAGCGTATCTTTAAATGATGAATTATTAATGCAGGAACAATTCATTGATAGTTCTCCTGTGTCAAATGACAAAATCGCACCACTTCCTGAAGAAGGGGCAACCGGCTCATCTGAAAAATGTTATAGATGTGATTCTCAACGAATCAGTGGGGAGATTTGTATCAGTCTTGATAAATTTAAGCATGACGAATCTGAAAATTCCTATGATAATCAGGTCACTGACAAGGTATCTCATACGAATGAAACTGGAAATATCAGTAGCAGCAACAGTGATGTTAAAGTGAACAATAATGTGACAGATGTAGAAGCAAGTTCACCCTCTTCAGAAAAGTTGAAATCTAAAAAACATAAGACAAAAAAGAAGACTAAGGAGTCTTCTACATCCAAGTCTAAAGAGAGCAAAAGTAAAAGTAAAAAGGAAAGTGTGAAAAAAAAAGATGCACAAGATGCCAATGCTGAGAAAATAAAGAAAGGGATTAAAGAACAAATTTCTGCAGAAGAAACTGTTGATTCATGGGATGCTTTGTATGATGAAAATGGGGATTGTCTTGATGACTCTATGTTGCAAGAGGTATGTTTTTTACTTTTTTTGCTGTCCAATTATTTAATTTTAAAATGCTGCTAGTAGGAGAATATTTCTGGTAAGTTCCTGTTTCACTCTTAAAATAACTCTATTGAATTTTTAAAAAAATGGGAGTATTAGTTCAAATTCGTTGTTCAATAAATAAAAAGATCTTTATCCATATTTTTTTGCAGTTGACAGAATATGTTGGAAAAGTTGAGATAGATAAGCCTAAAATTAATTACTTAAAATATGAACCGAAGGAACCATCTTTAGATTTTCAAGGTCAGTGATGTATTTATTTACCAGAATTGACATGATATTTCAATAATATTCATTTTTATTTATCATTATTTTATTACCTCATTTCTTCTTCTGCTATATCTTGAGGGCCCACGATCAATGTATTGATCATTCTGGCTCCTATTAATGTTGAGGGGATTCACGATGTATCTGTGCCAGGTATTGAATAGGATATTTCACTAATGGCAAGGGCTACTCAGCGGGGGTTTTAGGAACTGTGGATTGGAAGGCATGAGATAATAGACTTATGCGCTTCAAAAAAATTCCTGGAGATCTGTTGTAGCCAATTTCTCAAAATGATTAGTTAAATACAAGCCAATCATGTTCAAAAGTTACTTTTTAAATCTATTTAAAATTTTACCCAATTATAAATCATTTTATTTTTTTACAGCCTTTAGCCACATTGTGGAAATCTTTGAGTTTCCCCCGGAGTTCAGCACAGCTGACCTTATTGGTGCTTTTCGGGACTTTGCGTAAGTTTTCCTCTTGAATTGTATTTAATTTTTTAAATTGATTATGATAGAGGCATTAAAAAAAGTGCAACATCCTACAAGAAATATTGAATCTGAAATAACCGTGGAAAGGAGTATTTTAAAATGTTATAGTTTTCATCATGGGATAGCAATGATGTTTTATTTCATAGATAAGTTAAAAAAAATAAAATTAACGTGAAAACTTATGATTTAATAGTATTTGTTATACTAATTTGTTTAAAAGCTTTAAAATACTTTATTGCTTAGCACAAAGTTTGCTATTGAAAAATTTGTTCACTTGTTACATACCGTTAGACTATATGGTTTTGGCTGGCTAGATGAACAGTAACAAAGGACTGAAAACAAGCATACAAAGAAAAATGATACCAAAGCTAATGATTTTAACAATATTTAATCATATTATTAATTTTATATAAAAATATAAATCAAATATACAGAAATAAAATTTATATTTACTTACAGCGCATCAAGTAAAAAAAAGTACAATACTCGAAATACACAAATATTAATACAGACACACAAAGAGTACAATCTTGTAAGGCTCCTACATTAAGTCTCATAAATGTTTAGGAAAATTAGCAAAAATCTCTCCCAGTGGGAAAACTGCCAGCTTATCTATAGGTAGTGTGTTAGAAGCCTCCATATAAGAAATTCTAGAACAAATGTAGAATATAAATAACCTTTTCCCATTCAAGGGACGGGAGGGTGTGTTAGAAAAGGAGTGGCAGCACAGTGTCATCAAGTTAATTGGGGATGTTGGTGTAAAAAAAGTGTGTGTCTGGGGTTTATGTATCACAGCTCATGGTGAACAAAATTAGGTCAACACACAGGCTATAACAACTCTAAATTAGGTTAAATTTTGCCCATAAGTTGGAATATAGAAGTTATATTAACACTTTGTGTACTTGTAAATTAAATTATTATTATTATTTCCAATTATGAATAATTGTATCATTGTCATATTAGATTCCAATTTAAGTTTCATCAGAATGTCCATCATTTTGTAAATAGTAAACTCATTTGTGTATTTTAAATTACTAAATAGGAAATCAATAATCTGGCTTGCTATTTTTAATTGTGCAGTTATATAACTGATGATTCTTTTGGGTGTTTATTCCAGCTCTCGGGGGTTTGATGTAAAGTGGGTTGATGACACTCATGCCCTTGGAGTATTCTCCAGTACAGTTGCTGGTGAGTATAAAGCTGAATTGAAGGAGTGGGCTGCAGATTCAAGAAAAATATTCTAAATAGATTCACTGTGGCAAATCCTAGGAATAGTAATAGAATAAAGATTATACAGATGATTTTACAACTTCATATCCTTAAGTGGTGAAACTTTCACTTGCCTACAAAAAAAGTACAGATTCCCTTTTTTTAGAAGTCTTCTAAATTGAGCATATATATGGAGCACATCCTAGATCAGGCCTGCACAACATACGGCTAGCCAGCACCCACTTGGCGGCCTGCGAAGTAATGAAATATTCTTTATTATTATTATTATCTTTCAGCCCGCACAAGTTTTTCATAAAGTATTACGGCCCACCTTACAATTTGAGTTGTGCAGGCCTGCCCTAGATGATAACCAGTTTACAACAAAGAAAAAAAATAATTAAATACCTTTATTAAAAATATAATGATCTAATGAAAATTAGTGTTTTGATGACAGTCTACTGTTACATAATGCCTGGCTGATTCCATCTGTGCTACCCCCACAAATTCCTTCACAGCAACTAGCTTGACTAAATTAATCCCTGGTTTTTACGAAGGGCTTTGTTCATGATAAAGGATGTGTCTAATTGAGATAAAAGGACAACTATCACAGTTGTTTGAAAACAGGATGCCCTAGCTAATATGCTACTGAGAATCAGCCTTTGTCTTTTGGAAATCAGCAATCTAAATAAGTTGTAGCAAAAAACAGTCTGAAATTAATGCTGAAATTCTGTCATTTCTCCACTAAAAAAAGGAGGGAAAGGATTCAATGAGCTCACAATGTTGCTGAAAAAGTGCCAAAATTGGTTGATATATAATCTTTTATAAAGCATTCAAGGAGCTGTGAAGTATACAAGTGAAGACTGTTAGTCTGTTAGCATGAATGTACACCAGAAACAGCACTTCCAATCTCACTGTCCAAGTGACAGACCTCCTATATAAAATAGATATAGCTTGTTGCAGATGAATGACTGTTTTCAACTCTCTATACTTGGTAATAAACATATTTTTTATTATCAGGCAAAGACAAAATCAATATTTCTGAAATATCTACGGAAGACTTAAAAAGGCCTCTCCAAGTCAAAATGGGCTTTCCTGTGTGCGAATATATAAAGGGAATGTTTAAATATTGTTATATTTAATAAAAATCAATCCTTGTTAAATCATGCTAATGATATGTTACTGACAGATTGTTAAAAATCAGATTTTTCTGTTAACAGCTAATGAGGCTCTGAAGATGATCCACCCTCTGCTAAAAGTTAGGCCAATGAGTGAAGCATCCAAAAAGGGCCAAGCCAAAGCTAGAGTGTGCCAAGGTGTGTACTTCAGCCGGCCTTATTTTAATACATCGCACATGCGCCAAAAAACATTTCATTACCTTAAACAATATATGAGTATTTCTGCAACACTGTGTTTATACATCAAAATATAATATAGTAATCATAGTTATTTATTCAGAACTATTTTTTTAACTTAAACGATGTGCTTCTATTTAAGAGTTTCTTCAACCTTACAAGGCACGTCCAGAAACAACATCTTTGGCTGCGAGACGTTTGGTAGCTGGAGCTCTTGGAATGGCTCCTCGTGTTTCAAGAGAGGTTAGAGATCAGGAAAGACAGAAACTGAAAGAAGCTAAAGGTTGGTAGAAAACCTTCTTGAAGATCTGGAAAAGGATTAACATATATTTTAATAAGCTGCTTCCGCTAACATATCAATAAAATCTTTAAATGCGTTAACTCTTAATGTTGAAAAATTCTATTTAAATTCCACTTTCTTCTGGTAAATTCCTCACCCCACCCAAAAAATAAATAAATTTGCAACAGATACCGTATACAGGAATCTCTAAATAAAATAAATTATTATATTTCTCTTGTTAGAAAAACGTCGACAAGAGAGGCAACAAAAGAATGATGCATGGGATGGAGCGATGGGGAAATGTGCCACGGAGGAACTTGATTTAGGGTTTAGTTGACCAAGAAATTAATCTATTTTTCTGATAAGTTTTAAATGTGTGAACATTGTGAAGGTGCTAAATATGTGGTAAATAATGTACAGAGGTTATTTCTTATCATTCTTAAGGTGACAGAATTTTTTTTTAAAGAGTTTTTTAAAAACTATTTAAAAAAAAAATAGGAAATCAAGATTTACCATACCGCTACTGGTAATTATTATTTTTTTCCCTTTTTTTAAAAAGAAAATTTGATCCAAAATATAAGTTATTTCTTGTACATTGAAGTTGAATTGTAAATAAATTCATTTGAGTAGGGAAAAATTAATCAACCAACAACAGTGGTGCAGCTGATGACAGTGCTGGGGGGGGGGAAGGGGGCGGGGCCAAGATTCTTTCTGTAAATCCCCCATGAAAAAACTCTGCATTAGGTTGAAAATGCTGCCCCGCAATCTGTAGGAAAAAAGAAGTGAGGCATCCCCCTTTCCTGTACCAGTGACCAACAGTCAAGCCATAGTATTTTAACCTGTGTTAAAAAATTATGAGTTTTTTAATATCCATCTTCTAAGCTGTATAATTTTGGTAGCTTGAACAAATAGTTAAATTGAAATTTATTATCGTTTGCCATTATTAATACCCTTGTTACGCCAATGTCCCGACTAACACATTCAAAGATACCCTTGGTATACGTTTGTCCTGAACTAGCTCATTCAACCAGTACCCTTGATTCACTTATGTCCCAACTAGCTCATTCAACCAATACCCTTGATTCACTTATGTCCCAACTAGCTCATTCAACCAATACCCTTGATCAGACCTGTTTACTCTTACAATTTTGGCATATAATGTACGATTTTGAGGTGTATACATTTTATATACTGTATGTCATTGTATGTATAGTGTTTTACTATTAAGATAATGTATTGAATGATTTTGTGATGATATTGTAAGATTTTAAGAGTTTGAGGGTAAACAGGTCTGCTTGATACACATGTGTCCCAACTGGCACATTCAACCAATACCCTTGATACACCTATATCCCAACTAGCACATTCAACCAATATCCTTGATACACCTATGTCCCGACTAGCACATTCAACCAATATCCTTGATACACCTATGTCCCAACTGGCACATTCAACCAATATCCTTGATACACCTATGTCCCGACTAGCACATTCAACCAATATGCTTGATACATCTACGTTCCGACTAGCACATTCAACCAATATCCTTGATAAACCTATGTCTCGACTAGCACATTTAACTAATACCCTTGGTCTAGTTACTCCTTTTTAAAAATGCCAATTTGTTGAACCGAATGAAAAGAGGTTAAAATAATTTCTTTTATTTGTATCCCATTGCTATGCGTAATTTTAGATTTTCTTAACATTTAAAGGATCACAGTCTTGTCATATCCACCAACCAGCTCTTATTTCAGCTGCTCTTAGGATCACAGTCTTGTCATAGCCACCAACCAGCTCTTATTTCAGCTGCTCTTAGGATCATGGTCTTGTCATATTGGCCAAACAGCTCTTACTTCAGCTGCTCTTCCACGTTCACTCACATTACTGTCTCAGGGTTACTTCTGTCCTAATAGTTGTTACATTCAACTTGGGTTAAAGCAGATGGTAAATAGTTTGTTGTAAGTTCAATAGAGTAATGGTTATATCTGCAGCTAGGTGTGAGTTAGCTGATTGATATCATTAGTGAAGTGATGTTGCTAGCAATCACAGGGTTTTGGAGTCTTGTTTTTGATAGTTTTATCCTCTGACATGTGTATATAAATTATTTTTGCAGTTGTAATATAAATGAGAAAAGATAAATGGAAAACATGCGCCAAGGATATAGTTGTACATTTGAATTTATTTTGACAAAGATCACATATTTATTAATATTGCAACATATTCTTGATTGGAAGGGGCGTTGAACACTTTCCTGTTCCCACATATCAGTCAAACACTTGCAGAATTTTTTTTATTTTTTATACTCTTTTGGAAAAAGTCTTCACAGGCAAGGTGTCTAAGAGAAATACTTGCTCTTGTATGTTGTTAAATCTATACATTCAGTATCTGTCAGGTGGATGTTGCGAGTTAGAAAGAATAAAAAACTGTATGTCAAAGTTTGGGCTTGCCAGCTTTAAAAACGCCTTTCTCACGTCTAGCCAGATTTTGTTGTTGCTTGCTGCCAAGTGCCTTATTTTTGTTTCCTTTGACAATGCCAGAGTCTAGTTAAGTTTAAACCCTGTGAAACTTAATCTTAATAAGCAATACCTAGTTCTTGTCATACATACAATGCATCAGACTACAAATATGATAAATGTATTTCTAGTCATATATCTTTTTCGTAGGACAATGTTGCTAAGTAATTTTAATCCATTAATTTTTGTTAGAAAAGGATGCTATTTTTGATGGGAAAAAATAAACATGTTGTTTATTTAATTTTATAAAAATAATATTTATTTTCTACTAACAGTAACAGTAAAATCATTATGTTTTTTGTCCTTGAAATTTTTTTATCCTGTTGTTTGTGGGACTATTATTGAATCATTCCATGAGATGCTCTCTCTCATCAGTGTGCCCTTCATAGAAAACAGCAGTAGAATTGTAATCATTTGCTAACTTTAAGGCAATACCCAGCCACAACATTCAAACTATTGTACTCTGCTACAATACTGCCACAGGTTTGTCCTCAATATAATAATACTTAATAATTTGTAATATCTGATGTTAACTTCGATCCCTGATGTTTCATTACAGTCTCTTGAAAGGCTCAGTGTCAAACTTCTGCTCTCTTCACCTGTATGCATGTCAAGCCAAACACTATGATGAAATCATATTTGTCCACCATACAACTTAAAAGAGTGAATTTTTCATTTCAGAATATGGGGTTGGGAGTTTGTGAAGTCAAAAACTATTTAGAAAATAATAAAGATACTTTTTGAATATGTTTCAGTATTGTAAAAAAAACAACAAAAGAGTGGGTGGTGATGTAAAAAAATGTAAAAAAAGAATAATTCAATAAATATTTGTTGTCATACATCGGTGTTCTGTTGTCATTAAATAGTTCTACATGCAATACCTTTCAGTGCATTGCAATGCTGAAAAATGCTTTTGTACAACAATATGATGCTTGCACAGGCAGCTTAATTTTTCCCTCTGATGTGGCGCTTAGGGTATGGTCGAATCAAAGTTAAATTAAGCTAATTATAATGGTTTCCGATTATTACAGAGAGATAAAAGTTGGTGGACAACTTCGTCTTGTGGTACAACTTGGTCTTGTGGTACAACTTGGTCTTGTGGCATGACTTCGTCTTGTGGAGATAGATTTAATGAAATGGCAATAACTAATGTATGCCATCTACTGTTAAAAAAATTTGACCTCTTGAAGTGTACTGGGAAGAGAAAGTCTAGTTGCCCAGACCTCTTTTAAACAGAGAATGACGCATTGCTAACTAAAGTAGGCGTTGCATTCGCCCACTGAGTCTAAGACGACCGACGCATTGCACACTGAAACATTCTTGAAACTTAACATTTGCGGAAAACCTCGTCCGTCGATTGCTAAAAGAGACAGGAGCACTTTTGTACTGGATACAAGTGTGGACAACGCCTGGTTTTTTGGCCGGACTCGTGTGGCGTTGAACATCTCTGCCCATTGTGCATGAGGATTCAATGTTTTTTAAGATTGCGCAGTCTCCGACGAAAGTCAGTTTCACTTAAAGGTCTATCAGACCCCCCCCCCCCTTCTGTTGACAAAGTGCCTTTTCAAGACGGTGAAATTTCATAACAATATCCCATTGACCCCCGGGGAAAGCCAAGTAACCCCCC